GCTCTTTCTTGGGGGCAGGAAGATCCTGTAGTCATGAAGAGCACGAAAGAGGCCCTGGCTCGTGGTCTCAAGTTCAAGCAAGCAGTGAAGGATCTGAAGAATGCTTCCAGCTCCTCGAAATGGAGGCCTCCCAGCATCCCACTTACAACGCCAGTGGGAATTGCGGATATGACTTTGGACGACATGATGAAGAAAGAGAAGCTGAGCTATGCTGATGCTGTTACTGTTTACTTGGCTTTGCAAGAGTCCCTGAAGAAGCCTTCCAAGAAGCCCAGCAAGAGCCAGAATGCCAACACGAACTCCTCAGGTGAGTCAGCTGCCCCGGCCGAGGAAGCCGAGCCGAAGCGCAAAAAAAACAAAGCCGAGGAAGTCGATAAGAAATCCGGAAAGCAGCCCCCAGCCCAGGAAGTCGGTAAGAAATCCAGAAAGCAGCCCCCGTCTGAAGCCCAGTCCGTGGAAGGTCGCAAAAGCAACACTGTCTCTCCGAAGGCCAAAGCTTCTAAAGCCAAGGCTCCACCAGAGCTGAAGCGCAAAGGAGCCTTTCTCGAAGAGCCTGAGGTGCACGAGCCACCGACCAAGCGACTCAAGGGCAAGACCCCTGCACAAGCAAGCCACATCCCCGATCCCACCCCGGAGGAGGAACACGGGTGGGAAGAGGAGACCTGTGCAACTTTCTGGGACGACTGGGATGAGGTCAGCTACGAGTACGACCTATGGAGGCAAGGGCTTCCTCAGTCGAGTGAGCTGGAGGCCGATTTGCAGGCTCACAGAGATATGCCAATCCCTGAGAAGCCTGCTGCTGTGCCTGAGCCTGTTGCTGATCAACTTCCCCCCGCACCGGGGTCACCACATGCTGATGCTGCTGATGCTAATGACAGCCAAGTGTGCTTTGATTGCAATGAGTGCATGCTTGTACATGCTCGATGTTTGCATACTCAACTCCAGCTGTAATCAGTTTCACATGAACACTTGGGTCTGAGGTCTGGCAGTACCTTTGTGGATGCTGAAGCCAGGTTGCAAGCGCACAGCCGCCTCAGCAGCAAGGACCGCCAGGATTCCCAGACGATCAGCGACATCGGCCCCTCGGCGAGCCAAGTGGTTGCTGGAGTTGACATGAGCATGCTGTTGCAGCGTGTGCAGCAGTTGGAACTGGAGAAAGCTGAGCTGGAGTCGCAGCTCAGCACTGACTCGAAAGGTTCCAAGGCGACTACGGCTACGGAGCCCCAAGTTCCCGAAGCTTCCAAAGCACCCGATGCTGAAAGGCCAGTGGCTACTCCTGTCAGGGCCAAGGAGCACGTGTTCCACGATTCGCCGCCACCCTCGCCGGTCACGAAGGGCCTCTCTGCAAGCCTGGCTGCAAGGATCAGGACCCAAGCCGATCCCGTTCCGAAACCAACGGAGATGCCGCCGGATGTGTCAGATCCCAAGCCCGACGATGGGCCGAAAATTAGTTCTGTGACTCATCGAAAAGAATATGCCAAGCTCGCCGCTTTGCTGAATATATCCCTGTGCTGGTTCTTTTTGCTTTGCTGATGATTCGAGAAGCATTAATTGTTACTTTTATGAATGCTAAGAACCGGTTGTACGAAGCTGGAGCCATGGCCAACTACCCGTCCATGACTGCGTTGCAGGAAGGCACCCTGGATGTCGCTCGCCTATTCACGATATATCTTGGCCTGGCTAATTTAACCCTATTTAGGTGAATAGTTATCGGGACGGAAACTATATAGTCTATATATATAGTCGATTAGCAATATTTGGCTACTTTCCATTTTCGGGCTTAGCTCAACTTTAGCTTATGTTTGCTGGGAGAGAGTGAGAGAGACATTGGGTGAGTGCAGAGAGCGAGAGAATGAGCTGTGCATGCTGCATATGTGTGTGTATGTGTGTGTTTGTGTGTGTGTGCGTGTGAGTTCATGATGAACCAATATGGCTCGAATGATCGGCTGTGCTCTGAGGAGAAGCGGAAGCTGTTGAGGCAGTGGGTGCTTTCGGGCCAGAACCTGCAGGCCTGTGAAAGCGCCATCGAGATTTCGCAGGAGTCTGGTGTTCGAGGGGAGAAAATCTGGATGCAGATCCCTGTGAAGAACATGCACCGAAAGCCCCACTACTTCAGCGAGTCCTTCGACAGCATTTAAAGCTTTGGAGCTTCTGTGTTCTCTGCTGTGTCAACTTCACCATGCATGCCCAGCTTAGGCAGAAAATACAACACATAATTGCGACCCAAGTGGGGGAGCGGGATGAACAAGCGCCGGATTCTCTTCCCGACACCTTATATTGGTGTATAGTGGGCCGCACCCAGGTGGAAAGCACTGAGTACAGGAGCACGGCTTGCATTGAATGTTGAACATGTGCATGTGCAGGCTTGCGTGCTGCTTGTGCCTAGTTCTGTCAGATCACTTAGAAATATCTCAGGGTCAAGCAGAACTTCAAAGCGAACTGTCGTCCGGGATCACAATTCTTTGATGCTCCTATTCCTGGTGCCGATCCGGGCCTCCTCCAGAGGAAGGCTGCCACGACCCAGCAAGCGCCGCTCAAAGCCGATGTCCTGAGGGCTTTCGATCAGCGCAAGGACGAGTTGAGTGCATTGGCGCAGGAGGCAGCCGGTTCAGGTGGGGAGCGAATATTTCAAGAGTCACCCAATGTAGCTATCTTGTGACTAAAGCCCATAACACCCCGGACATAAACAGAGA